TCTGAATTTTGATTCAGATTTTGTCCTATGACTCAATAGCACTCTGTGTCAGATTCTCAGTCTGGTTAATAATCACCGTTTCTCTTACAGTACTGTAGATTTAGGTTTCAATTAATATTTTTCATACAGTTCAATGTGAAAATACAGACAACATAATTTTTAAATAATGAAAACAAATTTAACAACAAGTGATGTCATGGTATGACACAGTCCAGTTGTACAGTTGTAAATAAACTGAAATAAGTCAGCAATTTAAATCAGAACTTGAAATGAATGCATGCTAATTTATATGTTTGACACAATGTATAACATAGGTGTAAAATTTGATTGCAATATGTCATGTCAGTAATTAGGCTTATATGGCAATTTTGAATCTGATTTGTGAAATACAAGGATTAGGGTGCCATGAGCAATCGATCTATGTACCAAGTCTTAACAAAATCAGTCCATGCACAAACTAAATCTTGTTACAAAATGGAAAATGCTTAATTCTGAGGCGTTTTTAATTAAGATTGATAATGGCTACTATCTGATAATGTTCTCAAATGAATATGTATGATATATGATTTTTTTGAACATATTTGGATCATGTATGTCAGAGATACAGATCTATACAAACACATAACACACATAAGAATAGCAGACATACATGTAAGTCTTAGGGCTTAACTAACAGTTCCCTGCATTTTATTTTCCTTCTTGTACAAATAGACATTCTTTACTGCATATGATTTGTGCAATAGAACACCTAATTTGTTATCTTCGGTTTGAAAGGCATGTATGTAGTCACTACATAATCGAACAGTGGTACTAAGATTGAAAATACATAGACTATCAGGTCCCTGATGCCATTTTACTTTGTATACATACTATGAGTGATGATGACTACACAATAACTGCCATGTGTCATTTGACGTCATTTACTTTCCTCATGATCCTATTAAGGCAATATAAATTTAAGATGTGAGGTTGACTAATGTCGTCTGGTGCCATTTTACTTATCCACCATAGAGAGCTTGAAGACTAATTGATGCGAGGTGTCCCTGATGCCAGTTTACTTACTGAGTGAGCTTAATGGCTACATAAGCATCTGTATCTGATGCTGTATCATAATCTTTCACTTTACTAGGAGGGAACAGCTCATCAGGACTTTTACTTGTGTTTACATCAGCTGCAGGCACAACGATTATTTCATAGCAACTGCAAAACATGAGGTAATAAATGGAATTGTCAAAAATTCAACAGGAATTCATCCATCATATGTAATTTTAATCAGTGCCACTACTACCACATTGCATGCTTTCCATTTCATGTTAATAAACCATGTACATACATTATATGTACTGTACAAGTTTTAATGCCTAATAATTCATGGATACACTGATACACATGGTCACAGAGTGTGGTACAGATATATTGTTTAGTGGGCACTGAGTGTGGTACAGATATTGGTTCAGTGGTCAATGAGTGTGGTACAGATATTGGTTTAGCGGTCACTGAGTGTGGTACACAGATATTGGTTTAGTGGACACCTAGTGTGGTACAGATATTGGTTTAGTGGTCACCGAGTGTGGTACAGATATTGGTTTAGTGATCACCAAGTGTCGTACAGATATTGGTTTTAATAGTGGTCATTGAGTGTTGTACAGATATTGGTTTAGTGGTCATTGAGTGTGGTACAGATATTGGTTTAGTGGTCAATGAGTGTCATAGAAATATTGGTTTAGTGGTCACCAAGTGTCGCACAGATATTGGTTTAGTGGTCACCGAGTGTTGTACAAATATTGGTTTAGTGGTCACTGAGTGTTGTACAAATATTGGTTTAGTGGTCACTGAGTGTGGTACAGATATTGGTTTAGTGGTTACTGAGGGTGGTACAAATATTGGTTTAGTGGTCAATGAGTGTGGTACAGATATTGGTTTAGTGGTCACTGAGTGTGGTACAGATATTGGTTTAGTGGTCACTGAGTGTGGTACAGATATTGGTTTAGTGGTCACTGAGTGTGGTACAGATATTGGTTTAGTGGTCAATGAGTGTGGTACAGATATTGGTTTAGTGGTCACTGAGTGTGGTACAGATATTGGTTTAGTGGTCAATGAGTGTGGTACAGATATTGGTTTAGTGGTCACTGAGTGTGGTACAGATATTGGTTTAGTGGTCACCAAGTGTCGTACAGATACTGGTTTAGTGGTCAATGAGTGTCATACAAATATTGGTTTAGTGGTCACCAAGTGTGGTACAGATATTGGTTTAGTGGTCATTGAGTGTGGTACAGATATTGGTTTAGCGGTCACGTAATGTGGTACAGATATTGGTTTAGCGGTCACCTAGTGTGGTACAGATATTGTTTAGTGGTCACCAAGTGTGGTACAGATATTGGTTTAATGGTCATTGAGTGTGGTACAGATATTGGTTTAGTGGTCATTGAGTGTGGTACAGATATTGGTTTAGTGGTCACCTAATGTGGTACAGATATTGGTTTAGTGGTCACCTAGTGTGGTAAAGATATTGTTTAGTGGTCACCAAGTGTGGTACACATATTGGTTTAGTGGTCATTGAGTGTGGTACAGATATTAGTTTAGTGGTCCCCGAGTGTGGTACAGATATTGGTTTAGTGGTCATTGAGTGTGGTACAGATATTGGTTTAGTGGTCATTTAGTGGTCATTGAGTGTCGTACAGATATTGGTTTAGCGGTCACTGAGTGTCGTACAGATATTGGTTTAGTGGACAGATATTGGTTTAGTGGTCACCGAGTGTGGTACAGATATTGGTTTAGTGATCACCAAGTGTCGTACAGATATTGGTTTTAATAGTGGTCATTGAGTGTGGTACAGATATTGGTTTAGTGGTCAATGAGTGTCATAGAAATATTGGTTTAGTGGTCTCTGAGTGTCGCACAGATATTGGTTTAGTGGTCACCGAGTGTTGTACAAATATTGGTTTAGTGGTCACTGAGAGTGTGGTACAGATATTGGTTTAGTGGTCAATGAGTGTCAAAGAAATATTGGTTTAGTGGTCACTGAGTGTCAAAGAAATATTGGTTTAGTGGTCACTGAGTGTCACACAGATATTGGTTTAGTGGTCACCGAGTGTTGTACAAATATTGGTTTAGTGGTCACTGAGAGTGTGGTACAGATATTGGTTTAGTGGTCAATGAGTGTCAAAGAAATATTGGTTTAGTGGTCAATGAGTGTCAAAGAAATATTGGTTTAGTGGTCACTGAGTGTCACACAGATATTGGTTTAGTGGTCACCGAGTGTTGTACAAATATTGGTTTAGTGGTCACTGAGAGTGTGGTACAGATATTGGTTTAGTGGTCATTGAGTGTCATAGAAATATTGGTTTAGTGGTTACTGAGTGTCGCACAGATATTGGTTTAGTGGTCACCAAGTGTCGCACAGATATTGGTTTAGTGGTTACTGAGGGTGGTACAAATATTGGTTTAGTGGTCACTGAGTGTGGTACAGATATTGGTTTAATGGTCACTGAGGGTGGTACAGATATTGGTTTAGTGATCACTGAGTGTGGTACAGATATTGGTTTAGCAATCACAGAGTGTTGTACAGATATTGGTTTAGTGGTCACTGAGTGTGGTACAGATATTGGTTTAGTGGTCACTGAGTGTGGTACAGATATTGGTTCATGGGAAAGATACTTAATTTGGGATGTGTTTTGTTCAGCTCTTGCTACAAGCCCAGAAAGACTCAATATCAATTTTATTTCAAAAGAATTTATTAAGGTTTTAGCCTACAGACAATCAGGCCTGGATTCCATCATAAAGTATCCGTGCACTTATCCAACCAGTGGATTAAAATAATGCTGGGACAAGAGTTGAGACAGATACACAGACAGACAGACATCAGTAGAACATTCGTGTTTAGTGCAAGAGAGCTAATAATCAATAGGACATATATATGTAAAGAATGTCTACAAATTGCTAAAAATCACCAAACATAAATTGATTATTACCTAATAGGACCGTTCCTTTGAGATACACTGGGTAACTGCATCCAGAAAGTTTTATCAGAAGAACGACTGTTTTCATTACTCGGTTTGGAAGGTTCTTCAATCATTTCAGGTGCTACAGAAAATAAAAAGACAAATAACAAAGATATTATTGACAACTACCCTGCCAGATAAATAATAAGATGGTGGTGTCAAAGCAATGGATGGAGGCTATAAATTATGGCCATCATTTATATCATGAAATGAATGCACATACTTGTGATACATGATGTGTTAAAAAAACAAGCAGCTTGTCAGCTGAGATAGCTCCGCTGTTAGCAATGCACATTACAATTAAAGAACTGAAGATATCATTAGAAAATATATATATAAAAAGCAACGGAACAAATCTGAAAGAAGTCCACATGTAGTACCTATATATGTAATATAAAAGCAATCGGACTTGCGGTTTTTAACAACAAGTCGAAAATATCACTTTTTACCAAAAATGACGAAAATATTCACCAAAATCAGAGAATTGAAGATATCATCATGAAATGAACAAATCTGAGAGAGGTCTACCCAAGGTACATATACACCACGTAACAAAGCATTCAGGCTTGTAGTTTTCAAGAAGAAGTCGAAAAAGTAAAACATTGACACGGACGACGACGGACAATCACTCATATGATAAGCTAAAAAAACTAGTGCACAGATACCTATAAAAAAATAAACCAATAGTGACTGCGCTTTGACTAACTGATTTTGCTTGAGAGTAGTCAAACATGAACAATGGAGGTTGTATGTGGCACATGAACTAAAACCTTGTATGACCTGCAGTAATGAGCCGGAAGAAAAAATTTGTAAGGGGTTTGTGTATAATTTGATATTAATTGAGCCAGACATGTCAAAAGATATATGTACACATGCAGAGGTAAATATGTCCTAATATTTTAAACTTGTTAGAATGGTATTTTACAACAGAAATTAGGTCATAAAGAATTTTTTTATAAAATTAATGAATTTTCTTACTTTTCAGTTAATGTAAAATTGACAGTATTACCCTCACAGTCCCTCATAGAATATGACATGAATTGAATGAATATTCTAAAAGAGTGCAACAATTATACCTCAGCAAATTTCAGCAAGAGAATTGTAAGTTTGTTGTGAAAAATTGATTTATACTACGTGTCATAATGACAGCCTCTCGACTGACATTTCAATTACAGTATTGAAGATATCATGAAACGAACAAATCTGAGAGAGGCTAACCTGAGGTACCTATAATAAAGTAATCAAACTGGCTGTTTTTGACAAGAAGTAGAAAATACAACTTTTGACCAGTTAAGATATCATCGCAAAGTGAAAAAATCTGAGAGAGTTCCACCTGAGGTACCTATAAATATAATATCAAAGCAATTGGTCTTGCGGTTTTAAAGAAGAAGTTGAAAATATAATTTTTTACCAAAAGTGACAAAAATATTCACCAATTGAATATTGTCATGAAATGATCAAATTTGTCACTACCTACATACCAAGTATCAAAGCAATTGAGCTGGTAATTTTCAAGAACTCAAAAATAGCATTTTCCTACCAAAAATATTCACCAAAAATAGCAGATGAAAGATATTGTCATGAAATGAACAAATCTGACATATGTCATGTTTTGTAAATGTTATTATATGATAATATATTTAGTCTAAACATATCTCACCTTCTGGGTCAGTCTTGCACACAGCAGCTTCCTCACTAGGATCACTTTCACCACCATATGTTGCAGCTCTAACATTTACTTTGTAGTGAGAATATGGCTTCAGGTTATATGCTTCACTAATATCATAACATAACTGATTAGGTTCGTTTTCCCAAGTATTAATCTTCCAGCTGTCTTCCTCAGTTTCATAGTTACTTTCAGGAGGGGTTCTAGCATCAATTGCATATTCCAACTGTGAATGAAATATATGAAGTAATTAAAAAATGCCATATTGCTATCTAACAATATACATACCATAACGCAACTAAATTTCTAATGTTTTAAACATATTGAAACATATTAAATGCCAGAAATGCTTGATATTCGATGATTTTTTAGCACAAAAATGGCCACCATTCGGCCATTTTGAATAGAATCATCAAACCCATATATCTGTATATCTATGACATGATTTATAATGAATATTTGAAATTTGAACATAATCTGTCTAAGCAAGTCAGAGATATGGCACTAGAACCGCATTCATTAAAACAAAATGGCCGCCAGTCGGCCATTTTTAATCTTATCTGAAAAACAAAATGATGTGCATCAAGGTCCTATAATGTCTAACGTATATATCAATTTTGAACAAAATTCATCTGTAAACAGCCGAAAAATGCTTGATTTTGATAATTTTAGCACAAAAATGGCCACCATCTTGAATCAGATCATGAAACAAATTGACATGCATATGTATAATATCATGTATGATGTATGTGTGAAGTTTGATTGTGATTGGTCAAGGCATTTCTAAGATACAGGTCCGGACGCACGCATGCAAGCACGGACCTGTCCCTGTTTTCGGACTGCGTTCGAACAGGGACTAAATATGCACACATGATATTGTCCAAAACATGCACAAAAAAAATATACTGATCATGTTCCAGGACATGGTTATATGAGTTATCTATGCTTGCTGTTGCACTTGATCACCATGTTCTACAAAATTAACGGCACACAGACAGTCTGGATTGGATCAATGATTTTCAAAAATGATTAACTAAGTCATTTTCTTGAATGGATGGTCAAGATTTTTTAACATGTGTATGCCCATAAACATACACAGTAACAGCTATACAGTGAGCAAATTATAGTACTCTTGATGAGTTTTTTAATGAATAAATTACATATTACTATTACTCTGAGTTAAATTTTGACTTTTTATTTGTTTATAAGTGTGCCCCCCCTCAATTTTTCTTCAATTTGATGTTTACCAGTGGGACATACACTCTTACAACTACAATATACACAATCCTGAAATGGGCAAAAACATGTATGCTAAACTTGAAGTCTGCCTAAAAAAATGGCCATTGGACAGCCACCTGATTCAAATATAAAACAACTTTGTTGGTACAATCTGAATCTGTAAGTTTGTCTTTGTATCAACTTTAAGAATAATAGGTTAACATGGTCATGCTTGAGAAATAATACTAGATATTGAAAAATATAAGCATATGGACATCAATCAAATTGAAGAATTTACAGAATGTATTCAACAGTAATTTGTATTATTACAAAGTTGCAAAATTGTAAACTCACTCTATAATGAGAGATAACTCCATTAGTATTATCTGGTTCTTCCCAGCAAACTTTACATTTGGCTCCAGTCATAGCTTCAACATTCAGAGGCATAGAAGGTACTACAAAAACAAAGCAGAATAACAATACAAGCTGGGTGGGGTGGTGATGGCACAATTGGAAATCAATAACAAATTTGCACGCCCATCTCTTGAGAAAAAATATTACAAACACAGGAAATGAATTTACAGTGAATTCGTCATTGAAAAAAAAATAGCACAAAACTAAACGGTGAAGGAAAAAATATTTAAACCCAGTTTCTCTGCCATCACCCTTGAGTTTCTAATGGTCTACCCCTTAGCATAATTATGCTAACAATACTTGCTGCACAACAGTTATGACATAATATTACGGTATTATTATTATTATTATTAATAACTGTTTTTATCAGTTAATAGCAATACAAATTAGTGATAACTAATACTACTACAAAAAGAAAGTTAGTTGTTAATGGGATAAAGCAAGTGTTACATATCAAATGGCATTTTTATTTCTTGATTGAAATGGTACAATACAAGGGAACAAGACCACCACCTGACAATTCAGAAGCTGACTGTGATCTTGCATCTTTGGTATTTATTTATTGATAGTTAGTGTATGGCTACGAGGACGATAACGGTAGTTAATTAAGCTTGACAATGGTCAGCAACCAAGGCTGTTCATGGTTATAATTAACAATGGTAGTCCATGTTTAACCAAGATACAACTATGGTTGACCATAATAGTTTATGGTTTTGGTGATAAAATATAATTATGTATTTTTAGTCAACTATTCACTTGGACAAATAATTTAATATTATGTTCACCATAGTTGAACCATCATGACAATTGGGCATGATTTATACCACAGTCAAATCTCTTAATAGAAATACAAGTCATGGTTGGTCATCACAGTTTCACCATGGTTGACAATAGTCATCTATAAAAAAAATGTTTGTATGTGTCCAAAGCATGAAAATGGTTGCTATCAATGTAATCTCCCTAAAACAAACTATCACTTTGATATCATGCAAAATGTAGTTGCCTGCCTGTAACCCTTTTCATCCCTTCCGGGGGATGTTGTGTGTTAATAAATAAATAAATATGGCATATGATTGCTATGAACAGGATTCTGGTTGCTAGGGACAGGTTTCTTAACTTTCTTCAACATATACACTAATAACAAATACTTGCTAACTTAGATGATATATCAATGTGGTCACATGACACACACTCTTAAATGGTCAAATATCATTCCTACAGTTGTGAAATTCCAACTCAAGGAAAAAAATGAGGCTTAATTTCCAATAATCATCCCATCCATGAAAAGGAAAATTCTTTAAATCCAGAAAAATATAGAGGTATGTATCATATGTAGTTCTTTTGGAAAGATCCTGCCATGACTATAAACAAAAATACAAAAGAAGCATTATGCAAGATTCATCAACAACCAAGCAGGATTTGAAAGCAAACACAGGACCACTGATCACATTTTAACTCTTTACACCATTATAAGTACCAATCAATAAACATAAACAATAAAACAAGCACAATTGGATTTCACCTTGTAACAGAAATACTCAGGGCTAGAAGGGTTCCACAAATTGAAGAAACAATTCAACATTAATTTTATGACAACATCGATACAACAATTTCGAAATATAACAAATGAACACAACAAAAACATATGAATGGCTGATATATTAGAAGAGAGAACTCAAAATTAAGAACATATAGTCTTTTAAAAAATAATATCAACATTTTACCCTACCTAAATTTATTAACCAAAATGATATAACTAAAGTTGAGCAGCCACAACATACAAATTGAAATTAGTCATCACCAAAAGCTCAAAAAACAAATTCAAGACAGACTTTGCAAGCATTGTATTGTATTGCATTGCATTGCATTGCATTGCATTGCATTGCATTGCATTGTATTGTATTGCATTGCATTGCATTGCATTGTATTGTATTGTATTGTATTGCATTGCATTGCATTGCATTGCATTGCATTATTCACGAGACACATATCTACTTTTAACACCTACACAAATAGCAAACAATTTGAAACTATCATGAATGCAGCAAACCTACAAATTTTGAAACAAGTTACTGAATAAAGAAAAACAATAAAAACTTCAATTGTTAATATTTAATTTTTTTAATTTTTTGTCTTTTTAAATATTTTATGTCTTTTTATTTTGTGGTATAATGTTCTGACATAATACATAATAAAGCATATTATTATACATCTGTCACCGGAACGCCATAAGTTACAGCGTGCCGTAATTTTGCGCTATTTTACGGGGTATTTTCATACTACCATATTAGGAAATGCGAATTCCAAATATGGAATGATTACGCGCGTAAGCGTTCTCTAATAATAAAAACAAACATGGCTGCCACCAGGATTTGACCGGACTCCACACAAATAAGTTCGCTGATTCTGTTCTAAACTTTTTGGATTTCGGCATTCCCATGATGTATCCTTGGAAGGAAAAGATGTATAATAATAGGGTTATTACGAAGATACCTCAAAGTATGCACTCAGACAGTACGCTGTCTCATCGACCTCCGCTGCGCGTCGGTCGATACTGCCGCTGTACTGTCTTCATGCATACTTTGAGGTACCTTCGTAATAACCTTATATTATTATGATGATATTGTTCATTCAGTAGGCAGTATTTAAAACCTGGCCCTATCCTTTTCCCATATACTATTAAATGTGAAATCACTAGATATTCACAAAAAATAGAAAATTGAATCAAAATAAAGTAACATGCGACACCATGTGTGATACTAAATTTGACTGAAATCAGAAAATTAGAAAACTGAATCTAAACACGAATTAAAACAATTCATCATTGTGATTACAATTCACCAAATGGGATATTCACATCAATTATCCCAGCACATGTAAAGTTCTTTCAGGGCTGGTGTTAAGATGGGACAGACAGAAGGAAAGGAAGTGACAACCGACTAGCATTGATGAGTTTGAACATATAAACAGTAGTGTATTTTACGTGGAAGAGGTAGTGTGAAAAATCTAGTCCATCCCTTTCAAAACTCCCCCACCCCTTTCACCCCTTCCCCTAAACAATTAACATTATAATATATAGATCATTCTATAAACCCTTGTTTTATTTTATGCACAAATGGAGGCTAACAATAAATTATACATTATATATTACAGGTAGTATACTGTAAAGGCAAATGAGTCAAATTAAATTTTTTTATTTTTAAACTAATAACAAAACAAATTGGGACTTACTTCCTTCACTGGTCTTAGCACTCTTTTCTTCTGTAAGACTGCAATTTCTTCCATTGCAAACCTTTATCTATTTAGTGTAAACAAAAATATATAATATGCATAGGGAATAACAGTTACAAAATGCTACCTGTGTACCGGTATATATCAAAACTTTGGGGTTTTCATCAACAATAGCAAGTATATATACTAGTTTTTGTTTCCAAATAAAACATATGCTTTGAATTTATTGATAAAAGATGATTTTTAATAATAATAATTTGTTTTAGCACAACAAAATTTACTTGTAGAGAATTGATTTTTTTCTATTCCTGAAAGGAGACCAGTTGTTGAATGACTGGGGATTGTTTTTATCAAAGATGAAAGTACTTACTTCAACAGTATATTCAGTATTTGCTAACAAACCAGTAAATAGGTAAGTATAAGTAGCAGTCTGTTCTGCAAGCTCAATGTGAGAGTTCACATCTGATCTGTCAGATTTTATGAAGAGATAAAGTTCATATCTTTTTGTTACACCACGTGAATTAATCGGCGGGTCCCATTCAATAGTCAATGCACTATCTGACGTATTATGAAAACTGGATATAACTGGACTGTCTGGAACTGTAATATAAGAAAGAATAATCTGAAAGTTATTTCTGATTTTCTTTCATCTATTGGTTTGGGAATATGATTCTTTAATGTTTATTTATACATGTGCAGACGCTTGTTAAATTTGGTGACTAGTTTAGTATGATACAAGTACAGTCTTCAAATAATCACAATAGACAGGGGGAGGGGAGGGGAAGGGGTCAAGACCAAATATATATGATTCCGGCGTTTCATAATAAATGATTTCTATTAATAATTGCACTTTAAAATAGTATTCATGATAAGTGTCTACGCCATAACCTTGTTAAAGTTATTAGCATATTGTGTATTAGTGCACATGCTTCGGGCCTTTTTAATGTTCCATTTGGTAAATTCCAACAATTCCCTAACTTTCGGCATGGCTCAGTGTTTGTATATACAAATTATGCATCTGATACTATGACCTCGGTAAGAATATTCATGAAACACAGGTATTCCAGTCCAGAAGCACATTTTGAAATAATTTTAGTTCCCGAATTGGTTCAAATTTGCATGAGAAAAGACACGACTATCGCACATGTTTTATGGTGCGAAATTTTAATGAGATGCAAATGAGCATGCTCCCGTAGGGTTAGCCATGGGGATTTCCGCTCACTGAAAAAACGTCTACATATAAAAAAACTAAAGACAAATCAACCATTTTATTTTGACTAAATGCACTAGTTCGTCTTAAATTCAGTATATTTTAAAGACAACACATCATGTTACCTTGAATTGTTATTTTTAATTACGAAAACGATCAAATTACAGATGCGTAAATACTTTATGGCAGGTCTGTATGTTTCACAAAATCATTGTGATCAGTGCCCCCATGCTTATACTATTGAAAATAAAATTTTCAGTCAATTTGATAAAGCTATAAATGGAGCTGTTTTAGAGCACCAAGCCTTATGGTGTTACATGACAATTAATATACAGTCTAGCATATTTAAGCATATCAAACAAAAAATGGAAATTATATAATATTATATATAGAACTTATTTGAATTTATTATGATGAAAATAAGACGCTATTTTAAAGTGTTGTTGTTCTCGGTCCAGGGATTACAAGGTTAAAAAACAAGAATACCGCAAAGTATGAATGTCGCTCAGAAGCTTTGATAAGTCGAATACAAATGTATGACAGAAATGACTCTGGACAGACCAACAGCACACATATTAACATATTAAGTTTACATATTAATTTTAAGGACCTTGAGCACTGTTTAAGACATACCTCCCTCTAATGTCCGAGTAATCATCTTTTCTGAATATTCACTTTGATCTCCTACAGTATTGACAGCTGTCACCCAGACTTCATATTCAGTATATGCCACCAAACCAGTAAGAATCAAGGTCTGTTCAATACCATTGGCTGATAGACAATAACAACAAATTGAGTGTTATTGCTATTGCTTAGTAGTTAAAATAAACCTATTTTTGAAAAATATCAGTAGCCGAACAGCATTGTACGTAGTGATGCTCGCGCCAGCCAACTAGTGCAGAATGCAGTCTATTATACTGGTTTCGCTTACACTTTTTTGGTAAAGTAACATTTCCCTTTATCAATCATACCATAATGTACACAATTTTAGTTCACTTACCCGAAGAGTAAAACATAATTAAAGCCAAATTTTGGAAGATAATGTATTAATATTAATATTTGTTATTCCTATTCTGGAGAATTTTCAAAAAAACATAACCCATGAAATACAGTGCATTATGCTCTATTTAACCATGGCTTGCATACCTTAATATCATCACTGCACTCGCTGTAGGCAAGAATATGTTGAAGAAATACATGTATATAAATAAAAGACATTATGACCAAAATAACCGACCAAAATTATAGAACTATTAAATAGAATTTGAGATTTTGATTTAGTTGATTTCCACCAAAACCTTATCGGGTATTTTATTATTTCTATGCAGATTTATACCCAGTTGTATTGAATTTATAGATTTGTGATTAACAGCCCCATATACATGCATCTAAAATAATGCCATCATGGTTATTATTACCAACTGCAATTTGGGCTAATTGGGACTCCCATGAACACTATAATAGCAAGTCTACCCTTACATGTTGAACATACCTGGTAATAAATTTAGTTGATCAGGATTACTTTAAAGTTGAGTTTGTGCTGCTTTTTTGACTTTTGTTGTTTTCACCAGCTGTTCCACAGCAGTTCACATGGAGCCCACAGAAATACATGGTACAGAGGTGAACTTCAGAGCAACATAGAACGTTCTGTGACGTACATGTAGCTTGACTCGACAATATACATTATGTTGTTACAGTATATAACTTATTTTTATCAGGGGATGGTACTGCACAAATTTTCAAAGTGGGAATGCAACTTTTAGTGAAATATAAAATGAGTGAATGATAATTATGGAAATTGTTCAACAGCATCCCTTTTTAGTCTTTTAGGAATTTTCCCGCAAGAAAGCATGGATAAAAATGCTACAGAGATGTATTATGATGAAGGATGTTGACAGCCGTTACCAGAACAATAATGGCTAAAACAAACCTATACATCTGTAGAAAGCATTTGGCCTGATATTTTCCAAAACAAAAACATTCTTTTTTATGTAGGCTGTGTTTAACAGAAATGATACTGTTATTTTTGCTGTCCAAAAAAAAAAATACACCATAGTTTTCTTCTAATTATTGTTTCCATAACTTCTAATCAAGTAAGGTTCTTCACAAAATTTAGTGTCACTATGTAGTCACATCATTCTGTTTTTCGGACAAGGTTTTAGAAAATACAGGGCACATTCTTACAAAATCAAAATACGACTTAGATGCTAATATTCTTGATAATCAGAAAAACCAAATGGCGATATCATGGTTTTGCTCACAAAGTTTCTATTTCAATTTTAGCAAATCAAAAATAGAGAAAACTGCAACATAATAAAATAAACACATCTGACAAAAGTCCATCTAAGTTCCATGGTATTCATCTATCAAATATGAAATCAATTAAGCAACTTGTTTTCAAGAAAGAATGGAAAATGTAATTATTGACAGACATGTAATAAATATCTCCACTCTGTCATATTTGATGACAGCTGAGCTAATATACTATACTTGCACACCAGCATACATGTATGTCCTAAATTGTCTTACATGTATACATGGATAATAGAGCTCTAAATAGCTGACCTCATAATTATAACACCAGTAGGTATATGATATATATGGTACTATCATTGTAGTACGAGATGTCTTACTATTGAAACATATTATAATATAATAACTTACTTTGTTTGTTCATAGTATTACTATCACTAC